AACAAAACCACATAGGACTGGAGAGAGGACTCCAATGATGTTGTGAAAAGGCCCAGATAAAGAATAAAAGCAGGTACCATGGGAATCTGGATGAAAGGTAGTCCAATTTAGGAGGATTAAGGTGGATGGCATTGGATAGGGGCTGGGAAATGGATGATGAAGATATTGAGACAGTGTAAGTGAAATATCTGCCCAGTCCAAGGTAAATAAGGCAATTATCAATGTAACAGGTGTCTGTGTCTCATTATTTGTGATAGCAGGTTAGAAAATCTTAGGGCTAATAATAGACCTTATATAGACCAATACTTTTTCTTTTATTTTACTACAGCAGAAACCCCTCTCTCCACAAATTAAAGTCACAAATGTGTATTTCTTCCCACACTTTCATCAGTCACTCATACAGTGTGATTATAATTTTATAAGTGCTCAAAAATCTATTAAATAAAAATACAAACTGTGTTTCTTCAGACACAACTGATGGGAGAGAAACAAATATAGTCCATTTCATAGAAGTCCCACTGCCCCCAAGAGAGTCATACTGTTGTTAAAGAACCAGTTCACACATCCTTACCTATATTTAGTGTCAGCAGGTAGGAGACCAAAGCTTATTTCCTGAGAATAAAGACATTTTAGAAGGGGAGGAGCAAATAGGTATAATTCACAATCTGTGTAACCCTGGTAGCTACTGGAAAAGAAAACATGAGCCTCCTTTTCAGTCTCTAGTGTCTGCATAGAACTGCAGCTAGTGGGTCCTGAAACCTTACTGAATGCTCTGAAGAGACAGAGTCTGGCTGGAAGATGCTGTTTGTTTATGGCAATACCAGCTAGCAATGTTACCTGAGAAAAACTTAAAATCATATTCAGCCACTTGCTTTTCTCTCTCTCGCTCTCTCCTTTTTTCAAGACAGGGTTTCTCTGTGTAGCCTTGGCTATCCTGGACTTACTCTGTAGACCAGGCTGGCCTCAAACTCACAGAGATCCACCTGCCTTTGCTTCCATAAGTGCTGGGATTAAAGGTGTGTGCCATCATAGTTCAGCTTTTGTCTCTATCTTCCTTTGAATTTTCAAGCTGATTTCATGCTTGCTTGAAAGGATTTGTTTCTTTGGGTACTGAGACTTGTTTTGTTTGAGAGTGTGTTTGGTGTGTGTGATGTGTTTGTGTGGGTAGTATGTGTGTGATGTTTGGGTGTGTTATGTGCTTGGGGCATATGTGTGTGTGATGTGTTTGTGTGTGTAGTGTGTATGTGTGTGATGTTTGTGTGTGTGGTATGTGTGATGTTTGTGTATGTGCTGTGTTTATGATGTGTGTGTGGTATATGTGTGATGTGTCTGTGTGTGTAGTGTGTGTGATGTTATGTGTGTGGATATGTTTGTATGTGTGATGTGTATGTAGTGTGTTTGTGTATGTCGTGTGTTTATGATGTATGTGTGTAGTGTATTGCAGTGTTTTTGTGATGTGAGTGCGGTGTGTTAGTGTGTGGGCACGTTTCTGATGTGTGTGTTATGTATATGATGTGTGTTTGAGACGTGTGTGTTTGTGTTTGTGAATGTGGTGTGTGTGATGTATGTGTGGTGTGTTGATGTATGTTGTGTGTGGTATATGTGTGTTGTGTGTTTGTGATGTGCTGTGTTTGTGCTGTGTGTGGTGTAAGTGTGTATTTGTGTGTGTTGTGTTTGTGATGTGTGTGGTATGTGTGTGTGTGTGCAGTATATGTGGTAGATGTGTGTATGTGTTGTGTTTGTGTGTGTTATGTGTTTGTGTGTGTGGTATGTGTGATGAATATGTGGTGAGTTGTTGTATGCACTGTGTGATGTGTGTGCTGTGTTTGTGTGTGTTGTATTGATGGATATGCTGTGTGATGTGTGTGTTGTGTTTGTGTGTGTTGTGTTGGTGTATGTGCTGTGTGATGTGTGTGTTGTGTTTGTGTGTGTTGTGTTGGGGTATGTTATGTGTGTTTGTGATGTGCTGTGTTTTTGCTGTGTGTGGTGTGTGTATTTGTATGTGTTGCGTTTGTGATGGATGTG